TCCACTGGCTGCTGGATCTGCCGAGTCCACCTTCTTTTTGGGATGCTCTGGGACCAGAGAAACGACGTTTGTTGCTATGACCTTGGGGAAAGGATTTCCATCCACACCCATTACTTCTGACTTTTCTGGAAACTTCAGCCTGTCATCTTCAATTGCTTTCTGCACAATATTGCGAATAGGGCTGCACACGGTCCGGTTTGGACCGGATTGGGAGTATTTTGGGACCAAACCATTTGTAACGGTTTCACTATTTTTGAAACCAGATCGAACCATAATGTCCATGGAACCAAACCAAACCAAACCTCGAAAAACCAGTTTGGTTCGGTTCGGTTTGTCGATTTCAGTTAATTTCCTTTTTATTTTATTTTAATTTAGAGGGGGCAAAGTTCAAAAAAAAAAAAAAAAGAATTTTAAGACGAAAAAAAGGAAAGAAAATTGAGATATATTTGAAAGGAAACGAAAGAAAATTGAGATATATTTGAAAAGGGAAATTTGACTTTTTTTAAAAGAAATTTAAGAAATTTAAAGAACAAAAGAAAGAAAGGGGACACGTGAGAACTTTACTTGATTTAGGTTTAGGATATTATATATATATATATATATATATCATATAACATAGTAACGGTTCGGTCCAGGTTAGTCCGGTCTAGCACGACCCTAAACCAAGACCGGACCGAAAAATTATGGTTCCATAATTTTGGGCCCAGGACCAGACCAAACCGCTATACAACTAGCCCAAACCCAATTTAATACGGTCCGGTCCGGTTTTTCGGTTTATCGGATTTTTTGAACACCCCTAATTGCAAAAGACTACACAATTGTTAGTGAAATGGCTCCACGAATTATGAAACTTGCAATACTCTTTCTCAGCTATTTCAGAAGTTGATGGTAGCTTGTTGCCAGTTGTGAAAATTAACTGTTTGTCAGCCACAAGCAAATCAAAAATTTGCTCGGCTTTGGAAATATCAAAGGAATAGTTCCTGGAGGAATCAATGCCTTTCCACTTGGAACCAGAAGCAGCCTGCAAGTTACCGTTGCTGATTTTGGTTTTGCCAAAGCCTCACAAGTATAGGCCTTCTTTATGTTGAGCACGGCTATATTAACTTCCAAATCTCCCTCTATTTCAGTGGCAAACACCTCATAGTTAGGATCGCGATAGTAAGTGCCTTTGGAAGAAGACTTACGGTCTTGCTCTTCATGAATGAGGTCTTCATACTTGGCCACTCTGCTGGCCAAGTCAAACAAATCATGAAATTGCACTCCTTCAAACTTCTTACGAAGTTCAAATTCCAAGCCATTGACAGCCATTTTCACACTCTTCTGGTGGCAAGGACAAATTGCGTTTGTATTTGGCCCTTCTGAATCTGGAAAGGAAGCTGATCACTGATTCTCCAGGTAACTGATGAAGTCTGGAAAGGTTTGCCATGGACACCTCAGGCTCGATACTATAGAACTGAGTATGGAACAAGTCTTCAAATTGCTGCCAACTTTTGATGGAGTTGGCTGGCAAGTTGGAATACCACCTAAAAGCATATCCAGTCAATGTATTTGGAAACAAGCATACCTTCAGCCATAGATTGGCTGCTGCTTCTCCACATTGGACAGTGAAACGGCTCATATGTTCCAATGTGGATTGTTCGCCCTCTCCATTGAATGTTGTGAATTCTAGAATTCTGAAATTCCTTGGATAATCAATTTCGTCAATGAACTCCGGATAAGGCTTTCTGTATGCTAGTTTCCCACCCCTTCGAGTTAAGCCAAATTCCTGTAGGACGAATTCTGCAAATTAGCCTCTATCAAGTGCCATGGGCTATGGAAGGTTGTTATCTTGCCTCCCTTGAGGTTGATTGAATCCTTGATGCCCCCCACCTGCCATTGGCAGTGGGTTGGCGTTAGAAGGGTTAAACCTCCAATGGTTTCTTCGTCCTTGGTCCGGAAATGGCTCCCTTGGAAAATGTTGCCCCCCAACCGCCATAGGAATGGCCATGTGTGGCTTTGAAAGTGTGGTAACTGCGGGCTGAATGTTCATAGGTGGAATATTCTGCTGTCCTTGAGGAATATTGTATGGCCATGGTTGGCTAGACTGATCATGCCATGTCTACTGTGGGAATGCCATAAATGGGAAGTTTTAAACTTGCTAAGTGGCTGGCATGGGCACTGATTGTGGAACGGTCATCTGTGCCACAGGAGAGGTCACAGGTGCAGCTGGAATGTACGTCTGTGAAATTGGAAGGGACTGCATCTGTTGTCGAGTTGGAAGGAATTAACCTGCATGTTGTTGAGAGGAACTACCTTCAACAAATGTGGTTGGCCTGCTAGCTTGGAAGGCCGACTGTTGAGACCCTTTAAAATTGTTTAGTCGAGGGGCCATACCTTGGTACGAGCTTCCAAGAGTCCGTTCCAACATAGACTCGAACCTTTGAGAGATTCGGTATACCATTTCTTCTAACTTCCGGTCGTTAGTAAGAGCGGCTTTTGCATGATCCTAACTAGCCTTAGATTGGTCTTGCGCAACTCTGGCTAAGTCTTGGACGACTCTTGCTTGGTCTTGCGCAAACCTATCTTGTTGCATGGCCATCATGCAGATATTATCCATAATGGGTCCATTTGCCATTGTTTGGGCAAACTTTTCCACCATGTCACTTTCATCAAGTGCAAATCGTGAACCTTCAACTGGAAGTTCACTGACTTGCAACTCTTCAATCTCGACAGGGTCTTGGACAGACTTGCCTTGCCTTTTTCCACTGGCCATTGAACAATTTGTCTAGATGTCCTGCCGGGCATGCTAATATGTCCGGCTCGCAAGAAAACGCCGGTTCCGCTCTCCGAGTTACGTGGAATGGTGGATGGTGGAATAAAATAGTGTGGGTGTGCGAGTGTGTCAGGAACTGCAGCAGTTCCAAAGTAGAAATCCGAACAGTAATCCAGTTGGAAATTTGTAGGGATCAGGCGATGGGAATGACCACCTTCGAAGGGTCTTTTTTGCCTTTGAACAAGGACTTCAAACTATTCTATGGCTAATGGAAATAAACACTATATTGAAGGTGCAAGGCTGGAAATTAAAGTAATTTAAAGTGCATGACTGGACATGTAGAAACATGGAAATGCAGTGCTCGGCTGGAAATAGCAAAAGAAGTGCTGGACTTAATAGCGTTACGAGAATTCATCGCATGGAATGAATGCTATACAAGATAGCAAAGTGCTGGACTCAACTTAAAATGATGTACATTCATTGCAGGAATGGAAATACATGCACTGGCAAAGTGCTAGGTTTAGACATAGTGCAAACTCATTGTTAAAATGAGAGATACATGAAAGCAAAGATGCTTGTGTTGATGTGTTGTTTGGGCTGAGCAGGCAGGGTTTGCAAACTAGCCTTAAATGCTCTATTTATAGGCCTTTTCATGCATGCAGCAGCTTGATGTGGCAACTCCAGTGACTTCCACGTGGCCAAATTTCGGACTGCCAAGTGCCCCATGTTCTCTTGGCAGTTGTAACTTCTTCTCTTCTATCTTCTTCTTGATCTTTATTTCCTCTGATGCACAATCTCCAGCCATGTTCTCCACAGTCTTCCATGAACTTGTATCGTGGGTGGTTTTTGGAATGAATTTTTCCACTTGTCTTCTTCACAAATTGGCACACGTCCTACGTGTTTATGTTCCTCTTCCGTCTCCCGCGAATTCCTTCTCCAATTTAGACACGATTTAATCATCTTAACCCCATCATCCATAATCTACGACAACCGTTCTCAGTTAGTGGTAGTAGTTGCATGAAACACCGCCACTTTCAACTGATGCATTCGTAATGAGTCAAGTATCCCATGTTCCTTTGTGGTCTTTCCTTCTGCAGAGTCCTTTCTTTTGTATAATTTCTACATACATGTATGATGCATATAGAAATTATACATACATCCACGTTCCCTTGGCTTTAGGTAACCTCTTCCAGTTGGATTTTATTCCTTTCATGGCGTCATGTCCTCCAAAATTATAGCAGCTTCTTCTCATCATGGATGTATATACATCCACGATATAAGTCATTGCCCATGTTCCTTTTCCTTTGCGCCCCACACTTCCTTGACTTTGGTAACTTCCCTTCTTGATTCTTAGCCTCCATGACGCCATGAACTCCTAAATTTCAGCGTCCTTCTCATCGTGGATTGGCGTCCTCAATTCCTGTAACTTCCCTTCTTGAGACTTTCCTTCCAAGTTCAGAGTTTAAGGCGTCGTGGCTTCCTTCAGAATTTCAATAACTCCTTTATCCATCGCGGGCTGTATAAATATATATATATATATTTAGAAATATATCTTATATTTCTGGAAACAATCACCCCACTTCCTCGTTGCTTGATTTAGTCAAAAGTAATTATTGAAAACCTCCTAGATTTTAGGAGAAAATCCAGCCCCACGTCTTGCTTAGTCAACCTTGATTTCGCAATTAAATAGGATTTTCAATGAATCTTTAATAAAATCAATTTCTTAAAAGAATTGATCTACCGTGGCAAGTTCAGTAGAACTTGCACGTGTTAATAAACCATTGGCTGGTTGGCCTTGACTTGAATATTTATATGAGGTTGCACTCATGATAGTGACTCTATGCCACCTTTATGTATTTTTAGGACATTATATTCAAAGTTGGTAAATCCTAACAGGACTCGCCACTTTCTTTTAATTAATAATTCCATGTGGTGGAAATTATCTTGACCAATCATTCTTTGCTTCCAATGAAACCACATAGTTTTAATATTCCAAAGGAAATTTTGTCGGACATCTGATCCGGCGTGACAAGTTCCATTGGAACTCGCCATGTACCTCTTCTCTATTGGTAGACCATATCAATAATTCCATGTCACACCTTCCTCTTTTGGATATTAGAGTATTAATCCAATGTGGCAAGCTTGTTAAAACATTTGTCATCTTTCCATTGGGCAAAAATAATGGAGTAAACATATTTCCTTATTATTATTATTATTTATTTATTTATTTTAAGCAAAGAATACTTACTTTCTGGTCTCTATATGCCTCATCAACCTTTTGTTGGCACTCTATGTAACTGGGGAAGTCCTTGCCAACGAGAAAATAATCAGCACGGCCATAACCTTCATTCCCTTCCAAGGATCCCATCAGCTCGTCGTAGTTGTAGGGACCAAAAATACCACTTCTGACATATTCCTTGACTTCTTCAAATCGAGGGTCGGGTACAAACTACATTTGAGATCATCATAGATCAAATATACAGAAATTATGATTATAGTTCCTTTCTTTTCCTCCCCTTTGCATGAAAATTATAATCCTGTCTTGGGTTCTCTTTTAACAAAATTTGCATTGTTCTGTCACAATCCTGGAATCCATTTTATTGAAATTTCACAGCACCACAATGAAGTAGTGGTTGCTTTTGTATTCATTCAAAGGTTATCAAAGAGAAGGTCAGAAAGAAAAATTGAACTCTGCCTTACTAAGCTCACCTTTCCCTTGGCTCTTTCTTTCCGTAAACCGGCAATTTCATGAGCATGAGCACCAAAAAGAAAGAAGTTGTTTTCTCCAACCTCTTGCCTTATTTCAACATTGGCCCCATCTAAGGTTCCAATTAGGATGCAGCCGTTCATTGCAAACTTCATATTGCTGGTGCCACTGGCTTCCATTCCAGCAGTGCTGAATAATTTTGGAAACACAGATATTTTTGTGAATGTGTTGTTAAGGTATACTATGTGAAACTCAATGACCAGAAAAAGGAAAAGCCAAGGAAATAATAAAAAGTTGAAGTACCTGATATGTTGGGAGAGCTCACTGCCTGGAATAAGTATTTCTGCAACACTGACATTGTAATCTGGGACAAAGACAACCTAAAATAAAATAATTATAAGTGAGTATCAACATCTAGCGCATGCTATAAATGCACATTACATTTTTAGTCTTATCTTCAGCATTCAATCCTTTTTTTTTTTCTCTCTCTCTCTCTTTTGGGTACTGTATGATGGTCTTCATTTTGCTAAGAAAACAATCCAACTCCTAGAAACCTCTGCTCAGTACCAGAATGACTTGCGACAGATACAATAGTAATGCGACTAACGCCCAAGACGGTCTATTTTCCAAAATAATGCCACCAATCGACAGAAAATTTTAAGTTGATTTTGATAACCATGATGGCATAACTGTGCAATTTCAGCCCCATCAAAGAAATGAGACAGAGTGAATAATCAAGGATGATGATATGCCATCTGTTTGCTATATAAATAGCACAAATAGCATCTCTAGTTCTAAGATGTGTATTGCACAATAAATCGGTTTTTATGATAGTCAAAGTTGTATTCATTTATAATGTGCTAGAAATATGATATGGACAGAAGTTGACCAGGAGGATTTATAAGCTATCTTTCATCTTTTCATGGGGAAAGTGGGGAGTAAATATTGTAACCACTGTGTAGCTACCAGCAAAATAATTCAATAGGCAGGCTCTCCAGTTTTAGTGTTGCACAATATCATTTAAATTCTCAAGTCAAAACTCCATGAAGTATAAATAAAATTATAGATAACAGAACAGTAAAGAGCATGGGATATTTAAGTCGTCATTATCTATACTTATTGGCCGAAGAGTACCTTCAAAAGATCACCTATCTCAGGATCATGGTTTACAGTAGTCCCCACATCAGTGATGAATTTCACAATCCTCTTGGCTTGGACATATGTAGCAAATGCTTTTCCGCCAAATACACAAACTCGAGGAACAAAGTTTGCTTCTCTCTCCTCGGGAATCATTTCTTTCATCTTTTTATAGCGATAAACAATACCCATGATATTTAATAATTGTCGCTTGTATTCATGGATTCGCTTCACCTGAAAATGCATACCATTTTTACCTTTTAAGAGGAGGACAAAGGAGGAGAAGAGGCTGAAGATGCAATTTAGATAATTGCGGTCATAAATATGATTTGTGTGAACAAAGGCAATGCTAAATCGATTCTAATGCACAGTGACGTTGTGCATCAATTTCACCAACAATTGAACTTTGATGTCAGCCACAAAAAATATAATAAAGGAAACTATTTTTTTTTCTCTGCCTCACTACCATCCATTTGCAGCACATGAAAGCCAGTAATTTCTGGATGCACAATTACTTATCACCTTTTTTTTTGTTTTTTTTTCTGGATGCACATTCATTATTCTAGAGAATGAGAAAGAGCACCTACCTGTTCTATTGAAAGGAACCTATCAGTTCTAGGAGTAACATTGGTATTAAATGTCTAGCTCATTGCATTTTGGAAAGTAATTCTTTCAACATCTTAGAGGCTGTTTAATTAAGTTTTATCTCTGTCACTGCCAACAACACATACAGTTCACTCCATCCAGCTCCTAAGGAGGAATTACCACCTCCTCTCCAGGAGTCTGATGGAAGAGGAACAAAAGCAGCATGATGACATAATAGTCACAGTGCTTCATTCCTTTATCAACAACACTCATGTCGTCAAATTATCCAAGAGAGAAAATGAACCTATAAGAACAAATAAAAAAAGATTTAATCATTAGGGAATGACCTGTACATCAAACATTGCTTCGGGGCTGACGATATACCCAGTTTTTTCTTTAAGGAAGGACGCCACCTTGATCTTGTTTCTCTTTTTTGCTTCCCTCCATTCAGATTGGAGTTCCTCATTATCAGCAAACTGTAAACAACTCTGACTTGTCATGTTATAATATGATATTCTACTTCATTTCTTCAATGTAAATGTGTATTAGTGTATATAAAGAGTAGATGTAGAACCAAAAAGACCAAGTATATGCACATTGCACAGAATGTGCCACGATGGTTTATGTTGGAATATACTTATAAAAAAAAAAAAAAAAAAAAAAGGCTTATGTTGGAATATCCTGGAGCAGAACTCCCTACTCACTGTCCCTGAAACAGAAGAAGTGTGTTGCCACATAGATCTATCTTGCACTAACTTTGAACGGGAGGTGTCCAGCAAAATACTTGTATCACAACGGTTAAGATACAAATTTAATCTATTTTTGTCTCTTAAATGAAAGAAAAACTTATGATTTTCAGTACAAGATCTATGACTTTTTTTAAAAGTATAATTTAAACATGACACACTAAATGGAAGCAGCATGAAGTAGCCACAGAAATCTACAATTGGAACTCCAAATATCACGATTTTAAGTTTCAGAAATTCACATCTTTAGCCAAATCGAAAAGCTAAGGCCGATGTAAATGTGATTAGGCTTTACTTAACTGTTGAATGCATGGTGATCAATTAAAAAATTTCAACTTTTTATCTAATCCCCCCCATGTAATTTACAATTTTGAAAATATTAAATCTGAGAACACAACATTGTCCATCCGAATACATATCCATCAATAAGCAACATTAGCCTATAAAAACAAAGGCCTTTCAACCTCTGGAGAAATTACTAACAATTATTGGAAAGGAAAAAAAGAAAAAAAAGAAAAGGAAAGTAAAATTGACTTATCAATATCTTTCAAGTTCAACAAATAATCAATTTTTTCACAAATAATTTATATAACTATAATATCTATAGACTAAAATATATATTCTATTGCAGTAAATTTTTTAAATTAAATTTTCAATATGTGCACCTTACAATTGCTTGCAATACTTGAACAGATCGGGGAAAATCTTGTTAAGAAACCGTTCTTTCATTTCTATGCATATCAACTATATTTGAAAAACCATAGTGCTAGCACCACACCCCTAACTCAAAAAAATAAAAATAAAAATAAAAATAAAGAGAGAGATAGAGAGAAGAGGGAAAAACAGTACTCCTGAATAAATAATAAGCATCCACTCTCCTGAATATACAAGTAGTATCCATTTTATTAATCATTTCCCAATATATTTATGACTAAAAGCATATGTTTTTTTGTTACATTATCAGAAGTTGAGAACTAGAAATAAAGGGTATGCATGACTTCTTATGCACTTCAACTTATTTCAAATTATCTAATGTATGTATGTAGAGACACATATAAATAACCCAGCACATATTGACTAATAAAGGTAGCTTGCACTCTATGAAAAACTATGTAGCACGATCGTATATAATATGCCTTGCCATTATCTGATCCTGCAGGGGTGACCCTCTTTGAGATGGATCATGTATATCAAATATTAGACAATGACCAAAAGATTTCACTTATAGAATAGGGATATTCTTTTTCTATTGAGTATTCAATCAACTTCTTGAAATGAATGTTTAGCAAATTGAAACAATTGGACAAATAATAATTTTGGATAGACAATCTACCTTTCGAAGTTCTACCAATTTCTCAGTGTTTATCACCCAGTCTTCTGGTCCAATCCACTTGGATATAATTGTACTTAGATTTGGATTGCAAAAGCGAATCCATCTTCTTGGTGTCACCCCATTCGTTTTATTTTGAAATTTCTCAGGCCACAACTGCAAAGAGCATTATGTGTGCATATCATCATTGAGGCAGTGGGAAGTGCATTTCACCATCTTGAGAACTTCAAGTGATGTAGTTCAGTTCTATGATTTTAAGATAAGAGGAGGAAAAAATGTCCCACCTAGCTTGTTACCTTATAAAATTCATTAAAAACTTCCCTTTGAACTATTTCACTGTGAATTTCAGCAACACCATTTATTGCATGCCCACCAACAACACAAAGATTAGCCATTCGGACCATCTTTGGCAGTTTTGGATCTGATTCAAAAGTCACCTTCATTTTATTCTCACCGCCCTTGGATTCCTGCCCTTCAGATTGATCTTCTTCATCAGTAGGTTCCAGTGCTTCATCAGAACTTTCATCTTCTTCAACAGAATCAACAACAGGGTTTTCCTCTGACTTAACAAGCAATTCTGCGGCAGAGGCAGGTAACTCAACATTATCCAGAATTCTCATTTGTTTCAGTTTTTGTTGCAACAAGTCAAGGTCGTCGGTACCATACTCAGAGATTATGGTATGAATTAGCTGGATAAATAGCAAACAAATGAGGATTGAAAAAATATATATATATATATATTGAAGGGGCAGAAAATCTCACTGGGCCGAGGGCGACCCAGCCCACCCGTTTGGGATTGGCCCAGTCCAACCCCTGAGTCCATCCACGTATACATCGGGCCCGACCTTTAAAATAAACGGACCCGAGGCGAAGACCGGGCCCGTTTACGCTGGATTTGGAATCCAAAGGGGAATTAGGGTATTAAGCAGTGTATGATAAATAGGGAAAGGAAGAAAAGAAAGGGGGATCTTTTTGGTGTAAGAAAGAAAAAAGGAAGAAAAGAAAGGGGGATCTTTTTGGTGTAAGGAAGAAAATTCTCCATCAATAGAAAGGGATTTTCTGAGCCTCTCTCTATATATATATATATATTCAAACACTCAGAAAGAAGCTGTGTGTAGCGTGGAAGTAGGCAGGATAATTCACAAGAACTATGGATGTAATCCAAAAGTCAAAATATTGTTTCTAATATTACCTCCTCGTCAATCATTTTTATGATCTCAACATGCCGAGGAAGCAACTCCTGTAGAAGCTTCAAACTCCATTTCTCCAATGCCTCAGGTAGAACAGTGTGGTTAGTATAGGCCACAGTTCTGACAGAAGGTTAGTATAGGTGCCCATTTTGTAAGAAAACCTCATATAACCAGATGGATAATTGCACAAATATAAATATTTTGTTTTGGTGGAGTTGAGAATTATCTGAACTGATTAACCACCCTCTCTGCGCATGCATATGTGCACAGACAAGCAAAAAGACCCTAAAGCAGGGCTTCAAATTTAAGAAAACTCTCTTAAGCATTTATAATTGAACAAGAAAAGCTAAGAAATAATAATCACATGTGTACTGTTACATGACCAGTAACCACATCAATACGTTAAAGCAATGAAAGAAGATACCTTTGAGTAATCTTCCATGCTTCCGTCCAGCTCAAACCTTTCACATCCATCAATATTCTTATCAGCTCTGGTATGCAGAGTGTTGGATGAGTATCATTCATCTGTACCGCCACCTTTTCCGGAAATTTATCCCAGTTCACCAATTCCCCTGATCTCCTCTCAAACCGTGCAATAATATCTTGGAGAGATGCAGAGCATAAGGTATATTGCTGTTTCAATCTAAGAGTCTTTCCCTCAATTGATTCATCGCCAGGGTATAAAATATAGCAAATCTGATAAAAAAACAATGTTGCAGTGACCATCATTGATACATTGTTAAAAGGCAGAACATGGCAGTTACTGAATAAATAAATGAAAAAATATATATATAAAAAAATTCTACAAATTAGCAGAATAGGGTGGTTAGGTGCCCACAAAACTGTGGAAGGGTAAGTAGGGTAATATGTGCACTGCAGAACACAAGTACTCGGGCTTTCATGAATGCCCAGTAACAATTAGAAATGAAAAAAAGAAGCAATTTAATAGATATAAAATTGAATTATGATAACTGAATTCCAAATGATTAAGTTATGCATACCTTTTCAGCCTTTTTCAGTGACTCGTATGCTTCAGCATGCTCCCCAGCATTAAAAGCGTGTAAATCAAATCCTTCTGGTGCAACTTTTGTGGACCATAGTCGAAGGTTAATAGTCGTTTTAGTTTTATATCCTGGTATGGGGACATCATATGCAACGGCCATTATGTCTTCTCCTCCAATCCATTCTTTCTTTCCGTCTGGGCCTTGAACGATTTCGCCATAGAATTTTACAGGATAGGAGACATCATTTCTCACAATTTCCCAGGGATTGCCCATCTGTAAGGAGACACTTTAATCAATCAACTTATCAGCCAATAAGAGAAACCTATAGAACTAAGAACATATATGTGTGTGTGCGCACGCGCATGTGTATATAAATATATAAACACAATTCTCCTTCGCATCAAGGAATAGAGTAAATCTACCATAACTAGAAATAAATTACGGAGTATATATTTTCCCTTTGAAATATGTTTGCACATGCAAAATATACCACTGGAATAAAGAAAATGAACAAATCATACCTCAAGCCAATTTTCTGCAACTTCCTCCTGACCATCTTTTGTAATGTGCTGTTTGAACAGGCCATATTTGTATCTAAGGCCATAACCCCATGCAGGGTAATTCAATGTTGCCAAAGAATCCAAAAAGCAAGAGGCAAGCCGCCCTAATCCCCCATTTCCAAGTGCAGCATCTGGTTCCTGTCAATAATCAACTGAAAAGGTTGAGAGAATCCAATTAACTCTGCACACTAGTAAAGTGTAATCAAATACTCTCTTTTTTCCAGAATTTAGTTTTATCCAACACTTGCCAAATCTTGAAACATATTAATTTTTAAAGCTTGGTGAGAATTTCAAAGTGAATAACACTGAACAGGAAATAGGATGAACCATATGTTGTAGTCCTAGATTAGCCATCTGATTGAAAAAAGTGTCACAAATGGAGACTTTGATTGATGAGGCAATGCTGAATACTCCAGTATCAATATAACAATGATGAAACAGTTCTAACCATATATGGACTTCTTTTACATACATTATCTGAAACTGTCAACATTTCATGCATACTGTTTTATGCTACTTCATATGGTTCAACCTGTGTATTTCAGTATGCAGTTCAGGATCACTAATCGGCAATAGCCAATGACTGCATTGACTAAATGGAACAAAATACGGGTTTTATCAATCAAACTCATTAGCCATTAGGTAAGATTTACCTCAAGAGAAATTCATCTCACCTGCCTAGCTACATCCTCTAGATTGTGACCAAGCTTCCTTAAAGCTTCTGCATAAGCCCCTGAGAGTTCTAGATTACCAATTGCATTTAACAAGGCTCTACCCTGTAACAATTAAGATATATAAATCACCACTCCTCAGAAAGTAAGAGCATTCTAAAGATAAATTCAAATTGCAGTAACCCACTGGAAAGTGAAACATAAAAACAAACCTGAAGAAATTCCATAGACAAATAGTATGCCTGCTTAACATTCATCTTTTCATAGTAATCATATGTCGCATTCCAATTTATAATAAGCATATCACGAACACTTTCTGCAGTTGCATAGAATGCCTTGGGAAGCTCAAATGGCTCTGGAGAGAATGATGGTGTGAACTCTGCATGGAACTTTATACTCGATGCAACTGAAGCCGAATCTGGAACAAAGGAACCCAGAGTGCTTGCAACTCCTGAATCACAAACCAAAATTTGAAAACTCTAAGCCTGGTGTATGATTGGACTGATTAAATTTTGGTTCGATTACAACTTGATGGTAAACAAAATACATTTTTTTTTTTTTTAATAATTAAGAAACTTTATATAGAAGATGCAATGGGCATCACCAGGCCTAAAAAAAAAAGGAACTCCTTTACTATGATTTTTTTGTCTTTGGATTTGAGGTCTGGTATTTAAGTTCAACCTCAAATAGCTTGTTGTAAATAGTCCCATCAATCTGGGATGTTGGGAAGGGTGGACCGGGTATAGATTAAACCTCAAGTATAACTAGAACAATGTATCCTCGCACTCAACTTTTATTTTCATGCTTAATAGTCTGACCTTCTGCCATTGCAGCAAACAATGACCATGAACGAAAAGTATATTGAAAGTAAAATCAGAATTGGGGCTACCAACCCATTCTTAATATTTATATGAAACAAAATGAAACCCATGCTCGTCTAAATGCTGACAAGATGTATGTAAAGAACATAGATTAATATTTGCACTTTTTTGTCATTTGAGACTCTATAAGCTAACCTACACTCAAATAAACTTAACATTAATATTTGCAACCCTTTTTTTCCATTTTCTGTTTTTATCTTTGGGACTGCATAATTGAGCTGATTTTGTTTTTAAATGTTCACTCAGAAACCAAACTCAATGCTGAAATCTAAAAATATTAAGTACCTTTGTGCTGTTTAATTAAAGTTTTTGGAAGCACATTTTGTGCCCTCCATAACCTAAAACCTGTAGGGTTAGTCCTGTCCAATGTGAATGATCCCAGACCATATAAAAAATATTGAAAAAGAAAATAACTAGTTGCCTAGTTGGTGGAAGGAAACTTGCAATTTCATTTTACTTGTCCAAAAAAAAACAGGAAAAAAAAGAAAGAAAAGAAGAGCTGGTCACGGGAATGCTTATCTACACACAATGTCAATTGTGAATAAAGAGAGATATTGTTTTAAATCTACACAATTTATGGGATCAGGTAGCTTTTTTGGTTATGATTACTTTCAAAATTCAATAGTCTGTTTGAAGTGTCAAGCACTACAAATTTATGGGTTCAAATCATTGTTTTAAATCTACACAATTTCTTTTGTAGAATGCACTCTCTTCTGCACGTTAGACTACCTTTTCTCCATGAAATTATACTTGTCCTGGTTTTCTCAAAATAATGTAGAGTTGTTTGATGAAAAATAAGCATGAGGAATCGGATCAAGCATTCTTTAGAGCTATATTTGATTGTTTGGTATAATAAGAAAGAAAAGAAATGATGTAACATTCATTAGTTATGAGAAAAAGAGAGATTAGTGTTAAACTCCTCAAATTAATAAAGGAAAACCAAAAAGAAATACCAACATACCAGTGGCCTAGCGGTACCAGGCTCCTAACCTCCTAAAGGAGGTTAGGTGTTCGAGCCTCGGTGGAGGCAAGTGTGTGTGAGTACCAATTAGACAAAAAAAAAAAAGAAGAAATAGTATTGACCTTAAAAAATGTGTCAAGATGGTGGAAAGAAAAAAAATAAAATGATTGTTTTATTTTGTGACAAGGTAAAATTGAAATTCACGTGATATAAAAACTGGAATGTAATTTATTAACTCACTTATGAATTCCTCATGTCCTCAGTTCACTTTTGAAATGACAATAAACTCATTTACAAGCATTTAGTAAACCCTCCTACTCCCTCCAAATCCTTCCATTTCCCTCCACAATTTTTTTTTACCAAACACTAAACGTTTTCCCTTAATTTCCCTTCTTTTCTTCTCCTTCCATTTCCCTCCAACCAAACTGACCCCAGGTGACAAAATATGGTATGATCCACAAATGCTATTGTTGTTGTTAGTCACCGCAAGTGTGTTAGTGAGACAAAACTGGTGCAATTCGGAATTGACATTCTAGTTTAACATTTAAACAAAATTTCCACCAATTTCAATTTCAAGACACGATTCTAAGCAACCAAACACAGCATTAGAATAATTTAAAAATGCTAACCAGAAATTGAGAAAATTAATTGCTTAATCTATGTATTCAAAGTCAAAATTCAAAACAAAAGGCGAAGAAGAAACGGATTATTGTTAACAGTACCTTCTTCAGTGGTTGGATCTTTCAGCTTCTGCTTCTGATTGCTAGCGACGTTCTTAACAGATACGCTTCTTCTCGGATGAAGCGTTCTGATCAGGAACAGATTCGAGTGTCTGCTTCTGAAATTGAAATCGACGAAGCTTGGGACGGAATTTGAATGCGAGAGTGAGTTTGTTGCTGGAAATGGTGAAGCCGCCATTGTTTCTCTCTCTAAAATCCTCTCTACATATACATACTGATTTTTACACTACTGATACAGATACAGGCTAGTTAGGGCAACGAATAAGCAGAGAATGTGAATGAATGCGTGTGTGAGAGAGATAATGAGAGAGAGAGTTGTGTCTTCTTATCTTCTTTTTTGCAGATACTACTCTATTATCAGTTCATGTTGTAAACGAGCGAAAATTTGATTAGTTGTAACCTTTTCTGAAAAGAAATTTTTTTTGGTACTATATAATTGGTTGTTTTGCATATTCTATGTTCAAGTGTTGCATTACTAAATTGCCCCTTAGATATTTGTATAATGCGACAAAAAGTTATATATTAGAATATCTGCCTTTTTCCTACATTGAAACCAAAAATCCACAAATAAGTTCTTACATTGAAACCAAAAATTCACAAATAAGTTCTTACATTGAAACCAAAAATCCACCATAAAGTGAAGGGTTGCTCCCTAAGTCACACAATTTTCTTAATAAGTGTCCGGTCCAATTCAATCTCACTCCACCCTCTTCGTGAATAGTTTAGGTTTGCTTATTTAGTAAATTCATTTGCTAAAATTGTTCCTTAAGTAAACAACTCAAGTTCAAACTTGTCTCGTCTCATGGAGGCTATAGGCTATTTTTAAATCGTGGGCTTTGTTTATATTTATTTATTAAAATTCTTTAATCTTTGAAAATATATAAAATAAAGTTAAAATGCAATGACTTACTAAACAATGCTAACAAGTTTGAAAACGAGCCTAAATTCAGCCAACCTTGGCCAATTTTGAGTTCATCATGATCTCGAATCGACCCTAACCTAACTATACTACCATGGGAATTCTAACTCTAAAAAAATACTTGTTTGTGTTGGAAATTCAGTAAATACTCCTTTGAAGTTTAAAAATTCTGTTGTCATTGATTTTTTTCCCCCAAAAGTTAAGTGTAATTTGAAAAATATAAAATCCTTTTTTATATGAGCCACTAGCCCAGTCCAGTCTTAGAAAAAGACTAACCAGCCCAAGAAAAAAAAAAAAAAAAAGGTACTAGTCCTAGGGAATCTCCTCTCAAACTTAGTAGGGCCTTCCAAAATGTCTACAATGTTGGGACTTTCAGGGCCAGCCTGCATTAACCCCAAATTTTTTATTAAGGATAATTATGTCATTCGTTATATTTAAGTTTAAAATTATTCATGTTCTAGGTTTAGGGTTTTTCTTTTTGTGTTTCATCTCATTGCCTTTTTATTTTTGAAGATATAGGTGATTATATTTATATTCATAATGTTATAGTAAACTAAACAAATTATTTTTGTATAAAATTTAATATATTATTAATTTTTTGAGTTTTGATGTATCACCACATTTAACGAAATATTGCCAAATAAAATTTTTCCTAATCGAAATTTTAAAACCTTCCATATCAAAGAATACGGGTTTGAGCATTCTACTATTATACCTATATGTTATATTTCAATATCTACCATTCTTTTTTTAATTGTGAAATGGCTGTAATGAATATATTTCCTTAAAAGCATAAAGTCAATTCTCTTTCATGTGACTAACCATGAACAACTAACCACCCAGTACCGCCGCCTTCCACTTACCGCATCCGCATCCGCATCCGCATCCGCCTCCACCTCAGCCGCCTGCTATGTAAATCAATCACCTTATCATCTATATACTTTACTTTTACTCCATACTAGAACAATATAATGGACGGTAAGTAACACAAACACGAATGCAATAATCTGACATTAAACAAAAGAATTATTCTAATTAATGTTAACAATTTTCAATGGTTTATGACCAAAAACTTAGCAATGCAGCCATACTAAATTTCCCACATTTTCAATTACATATTAAAAAGTCAAACAGAAAATATTAAAACCTCCCCATTTAATTCATAAAACTTCATAGAATATACAACAATAGAATTCAAAAATCTGAATCTGACACACAAGAACAGAACAACAACAACAAAATCTGAAAAAAAAAAAAAAAAAAAAACCATATGATAGAATGCAATAATCTGGCACACATGAACAGAACAAGAACAACAAAATCTGAAAAATAAATAAATAAATAAATACTGGTAATAATTAAAAACCCCATATGATAGAATGCAATAATCTGACACACAAGGCTCGAAACTCGGCTAGGGGCTAGGGTTAAACTAGCCCAGAGTGGATGAGCTGATAGGCTTTCGTACAGGGACAGTGGGTACGTCCACATATTCACGGCTGTTCATACCAAAAAAATATTGAAGAAACAACACAACCAGAGAATGGATTAAAAAAAATAATTAAAAAAACCCAACCCTAGAATATATGAAGTGTGAATATTCATCCCTGTACAAAAGGCTATCAGCTCATCTTCTCGGGATTGTTTTTCGTCGCCGATGGATCCATATGGTATGATTTGAGCGTCACTTCCATCGTCGATCAAGAGAATGAGAAAATCGTAAGAGAACGTGATCGAGAAGAAAAGACACCCTAGAAGCAACAAATTAATGATGATGATCGAAGTGGTTTTATACTTTTTGTTGCTTAGAAAATACGCTGTATATATATTTTCCTTGGTAAATACTACATATCAAATTCTAAAATGTTTATCTGGAAGATACTTAGAAATTAATTAACCCTTACTAAATCACTTTCTTTATTTATTTATGGCAATAAAAATCAAATCTTGGTTTTTAAAAAGTCATTAATATTTCAAAAACTATTTCTTGACCTACTTGGCAGGTCGTTTTAGCTTATAAAATACGCAATTAGGTTGACCGACTTAGAGAGTAAGCCACTTACAATTATTCTTTTACTTATAAAATTATTCAAATTAAAGAAGTAATTAATAAATTAAAAAAAGAAATGGTGCTCAAGTGGCAGGGGTTTAATATTTTTTACAATTACTTGCTCATAAAGCAAAGGGTATTAAGAAAATTACATAAAAAAGTCATTAACCCTATTTTTTAAGGATAATCATGTCATTTGTTATATTTAAGTTTGAAAGATGGATGACTTTTATCTACAAGTTGGAAGATCCCGTTTCCTAATTTACCTTTCTTAACATATATTTGATAGACGTAGAGGGTGAGTCACTTAAAATTATTCTAATTACAGATATATGTATAGTAAAAATAATAATAATAATTAAACGAGAGGAATAAGAAGAAGGGAGATTGATGTCTTGGGTCATTCATGTTCAAGGGTTTGGGTTTCTCTTTTTGTGTATTCTTAATGTTCTAGTCTATCGGTGTCAATATCAATAGAAGAAATGAAAAAATTGGTATTTGTTACCAAATAAAAATTTTCCTTTTAAAAATATATTAATAATCACCAATTCAAATTGAAAGGAAAGAAAATGTTTTTTTTTTTATTTTTTTATTTTTATTTTATTTAGGAAAACTGTTGTCAAAATACTATTTATTGAAATACCATGAAGAAGAACCAAATATTTTCATCGATCGAGCAAATAATTCTCAATTTTTTATTTTTATTTTTATCATATGATCGAAATTCTAAAACTCTCTCCATAGACATTGCTCTATAATTCCATCATTTATATTGTTGATCACGAAGTTCTGCAACTCTCTCTTGATCACGAAGTTTTTCTTGCTTACAGGTGAGAAATATATTTTTTATTATTATTAATGTATATAAGATCATATAAAAATCTAATGCTATCAATTTTCAATGGGTTTGTGGTAAAAAAAACTTATCAATCCAGCCCTACTAAATTTCTTTTCTTTCTTTTTTTCTTTTTTCTTTTTATTTTTTTATTTTTATTTTTTTTATGCTGGTGTTCTTCTAATCACCTACCTTTGACCTCGTCTGCAATCAGTGCCACTGACTGGCAATCCCTTGTCCAAAAGATCACATCCAAAATTTCCTCTTGGACATCAAGATTCCTCTCATGTGCAAGTAGGGCTGTCCTGATCAAATCCATACTCCAATCCATTCAAACATATTGGTCTCAAGCATTCATTTTGCCTATAAAAGTCATTGAGTAAGTTAATCTAGTCTTAAGGATGTTTGGATTTATATGTCTTGGTATAGCAAATTCCTATTTGGATTATAATGACATACGTTACTGACATATCTGAAATATTTATGATTTATATAATTGGTGAATTCAATATATTATGTTGCCATTCATTATGGAATTGATAGTGTCTACTTAATTGATTACAAGAGATATTTATATATGTATGTGATGGTGATCAATACATGAATATAAATGGTAATCATAAATTGTTCATAGTCGGTAATTATGGATAAACTTATTAACTAAGACTTGAACTGGATCCGCGTTAGGTTGAGATATATTGCGAGAGTCGTCGTATGCAGTTGCTCCTTATCACTATCATGGCATTTAACTCTTAAGCATAAGAGAAGTATAGACTATTTTATTAATTAGTAATTACTTTGATTTGTTCGGCGGAATCTTCGAAATCCATAGACTGGCACTTTGGGTAATTATGTAATTAATAGTTAGATGGTTATATTTTCAATATTTGTGTCATTGCTACTTGTATTTATTTTGTATTGATTATGATTGATCACACAGTAAATTCGAAGGCCTTCGTGTGTTTTTAGACAAAATGATTTATTATATATTTATTTATTTAAATTATTATTTTTGTCGAACAAATGTTTTATTGTGATCAAGCCGAAAATAATCAAAGGTACCAAAACAAATATATTAATTAAGTAGTCAGATTGATGGATTTATTTATCTGATAACTAATTATGCATAGAGGGGTCAAAGTGCAACATTGACTTAGAGGTTATTTATTATTTAATTGGAGTTTAATTAATTTCTTATAGTGGAGTAGAAATTAATTAATGAATTAATTTAATTGGGTCCATGGATCGGGCCAATTATTAATTCATTGTAGCCAAGAAAATAATAAGTCCAAAGGATTCTCACTCATAGCCCAACTTGATATTGGAGACCTATTAAATTTGAGATATCACGTTAGTTTTAGAGATTGAGAAAAATATAATGTCTTTAATTATTATTTTTTATATTGCCCATATATACATGGAGTCTATGTATATTTTAGGTTACGCTTTGTAAAATAATTTTAGTAGACAAGAAAATATTTTCTCTCTCTAGAATTTTAAGGTTAGTATTCTCATCTAATGGAGGCTCCCACAAGCCTAACTTTCCAAGGTCATTCATGGAGGCTTATGGGTGATTCTTAAAGGTAAGACCATTACCAAGAAGCTGGAGA